GAATGCTAGTTGAACTGGGAATGCTAGTTGAACTGGGAATGCTAGTTGAACTGGGAATGCTAGTTGCCAGCGCTGTCAAAACTTTTCAAGCTATCATAGCGCTGTAAAATAGCGTTCTCACCCCCTTCAAAACCCCGCTGCGGTACTTGCTGTTCCCACCCTCCCTTGCACGGAACATGTGCATGAACCATCCGTTCATCCAATACGTTCCCCTAGGCACCGAATTGTTCAGAAGTTGCTCCACGAGTTCCAAACTTCTTTGAACTTCCGTCTGGCAAAGACCGTACCTTATTTCCACAAGAAGACAAACAGTGCGGCTTCCCTGGTGTCTGTCCGGCAAGAGCACCATGGTTAATCCGATGAGGAAGTCACAATCAGCCTCAGCGCAAACATGCCTCCGGGCGCGGCATTCGCGGTTGTATTCGTACGCCTCTGGCGGACAGCATCGGGGGTTGGCTTGGGAAACTTGGAAGTCAAGATGTATCACATGAGCTGACGACCAGCCCAAACACCACAATGCTGTGCTTCAATTATCCACAATGACATTCTTCCCGCGCTTCACCACCAACCTGATCGGGACACGAGGGTCAGGATCCGAGCATCGAGGGCTGAAACACGGCTGAATTTCGAGACAGCTGGCCGGGCATCCAAGAGAGCGACAGTGCTGGTGCCGTGGGCCAACGCCATAGAGTTTGCAGGTCCGGAGCAAGTCCCCAAAGGACGGATAGTCAGGAAGAGTGGTGAGCACGGATGGTCTGCCAGTCTTGGCCCGGAGATCTGCGTGCCGCTGCGCGCAACCGCGGCGGCGGGATAGTGCATGAGGGAGCCAACGTCGTATGAGCCCGACCAGTCAAGAGAAGTAGTCCACAGGGACGGCGTAAAGTGCCGGACGGCCAAGCAGCAGCCAGCCGGTATGCCGGACGTGGATGCGCACGTTGTGCGCCGCGGGCAAGGTGGTGCCCGCCGGACACTGGGGGTCGACGTTTTCCGGGAAGAAGTCGACGAAGGAATCGCGATCGGGTCGCTGATGCTCGTGATGGAGTCCCAGGACATGTCCAATCTCGTGCATTATCTCGCGAACACCACAGTGGTGGCCAGAAACCGTTCCATTGCAACTTGGGGACAGCCACAAGTCCATGCCCGACGCAGGCGAATAGCCCACATATGCAGCGCAGGGCAAGCAATCCCTGCTTCGGATTGTGAGGACTCCCGGGACGCTTGCTCTGTCGTTCGCCAGCCGGGTGAAGGTCAGATACGAAGCTCCGGTACGGGAACGTGTCCAACGCCATATTACCTCGTCAATCTCGGCCGAGCAGTTTTATTCGGTAGAGGCGTGCTCAAGCTTGTAGCGGATGATACGGCCAGGCCACGCGCTGTCCTGGCGGACAGAGAAGGTTCGCGGGTCTAGGGCGCATTGAGAACTGCCGTTCTTGGGTTGCTTGGCCAATAGTTCCTGCTCGGTGCCGTAGATGACGTCGCCATCAATGACCGCCAACCCATTTGGTGTAAGCAAATATGACACGTTACGGTGACCGTAGACCTTATCGCAGACCTCGACTGTTTTAAGTCGTTCACGGTTGCCCTCTTCGGGTGGTGGGGTAAGCGACCCGGGCAATGCAAAGCCGAGGAAAGAATACCAGGAGAACCATAATCCAAGTTCGCCAAGCTGCGCAACAACCTGCAACTTGAAGAGTGACTGCATTTTCTAAGGTAGCGTTAACCGTAGTGGCATACACGCTGAGATTTTGGAGACCATCGTATCTCCGTTCGTTCGGTAGTACATAGTATAGTCGGTTCGTCGAGTCTTCAGGCGCTTATAGCAGCTACTTTAGTTCCGTTCATTTGGTCGGTTCGGTTCAGATTTGTCGATTTATTACTAGCGCGACTCGCAGCTAGACAGTTAGTTCAGTTTCGTGATCGGCGCATAACGTAGCCGGATCAGTCCTAAGTCATGCGGCTCTTAGAGCGGCCAGCCGTTTCTTCGGTTCTTCAGGTTATCGCTGGTGTACAATACAGCCAAGCTGTCAGTCGGTTCGAGCAGCGTACCATGCAGCCAGCAAGATCGGATTCGTTCGGTTGATTGGCGCGCAATGCAGCTGGATCGGGCTCTCTAATCAGCGCGTAACGCAGCTAGATCAGTTCTTTCTCGGGGGCATATAGCGTAGCCTTAGTCAGTTCAAGTCAAGCGGCGCTTAGAGCAGCCAGCAAATTCGGTTCGGTCTTCAGGCGCGTAAAGCAGCCATATCTTCAATCTTTTACCGACGCGTCACGCAGCCAGGCTCGCCCTCTTGATGGGCGCATACTACAGCCATGTAACGGGCTTGGCCCGTCAAGGCCTCGGCAAACTCTCGGCCAAGACTCGAGATTCGGTGGACTTCTATCTTGTTCGATATCGGCGCACAGGCCAAGGATGTGGAGGATAAGACGGCAGGTATCTTGCATAGTGTTTCACTCTTTTTCTTCTTCTCTCTCCATTCGATACAAACTCGTAGAGTTGTTACCAGCTAGTTGCAATATACTCCTGGGACCGTTACAAGCCAGATCGGTTCAGTCTTCGGGGTGATATTGTTGAAGCCTTCCTAGGCCCTCGGGGGTGAGCTTTCGATTGTAAGAGACAAGTAGCATCAAGGCGAGGCACTGGGCACTGCAAATGCCGACTCAATTCTACTAATCGAAAGCTAAGAAAAGGAAGAGGGAGAGGATACAGGATACACGTCTACGACGCGAGAAAGATAAGTGGGCGTATAAGCCACCCACTGATTACCCACCGAAGAGAGCATGAGTCCAGAATGCGCTTTCCGACACAACTAGCTTGGGCTATGATTATTGAATTGTCTTATGTAAAGTAATTAAAATTTGCAAAAAGTACGCTAATATAAGTTACCTATATACCAAAGTAGGCTACTGTAATAAGTAGGCAGCTTTTCTTCCTTTGATACCTTCCAACTTCACCGCGGATTTTATTCTGTAACGTTAATACAAAATGAAACCAGCGCCAACGAGAGCCGTGTAATCCTTGCGCTTATTGCTCTGAAAAAGGGCCCTAACTTGTCCGTACGGAAAGTGACTACGCTATATGCGGTCCTACGAAGCTCGCTCTAGCGCCGACGCGGCGGAACGCTATGGCAGGAATCAGGATATAATCACACTTGTAACCGTCGCGGCTATTTTACCCACAATGAGAAACGCCGAATGTGAAGAGCCTGGGAATCGGGGGCCCACTTGCTCCGGGTGGGGCCGCCGGATGAGATCCGCACACAACCTTGTTGGTCCTGTTCGATGCAAACATGCAGCTCGATGAGCGGCGAGGCCGACGGGAGGATTCTCAGACATGGGGCTGAGTTGTATCACCCATTTCGGACGAGCTGGCACGGGAAGGATGCATGGAGCTGTTCGGGGACATCAATCGATCGGACTCGCTCTCGCCAGTTCGCACCTGTTGGTCAGAGGTGCAGTGGCTGGAGAGGCGGTTGAAACAGATGGCTGGAGTTTGCAATATTGGCCGTCATGATGATGTGGATGGAGGAAAGAATTACAAGTTTACAACATCGAGTGATTTCTGTAAATGCATTGGCCGCTGAGTGAGATGAAGTCAAATCAATATATCTACAAGAGAATGAAGAACGTCGTAGTGGTTGTGCATCCAGCCGTTGTTGTTGAAAAAAAGTGCCCATAAACCACCCATGAAAATAGCAAAACGAGTGACATAGAATTCCCACCCCTCAATGAAACAAACCCAACTTGCGCACTATTGTTGTATCGTACAATGAATGTGATGACCGAGAAGATTGCAACCATTGTCGCTGGAGCCGAGCCCATTGCTGACCGTCGTCGGGTAGGAGAGGCGTTGGCTATTGATCGTAGTTGATGTAGTTGTAGAAACACTCGGGGCTGCAGGTACCCGGGCTGAAGATGTCGTACACTTGGTGCCTTCTGGAGTCGTACGTGCAGTTGCCGTAAACGTGGCGGGTGTAGATTTTGCACGAGTACTTCATTTTCCTTATAGTGAAGTGCCCGCATACCTCGTATGTGACTTTCTCCCAGCTGCACATGTTGGGTGAAAAGAAGTCGAGCTGTTTTGACGACGAGAAAGGGCTGGAGGAGGGATTCGGACGGAGTGACGACCGTAAGCACAAGCTGACTGGGAGTCGCAGCAATTCGCAGCTGATGATGATGTTGAAACGGGAGGTAAGCGCTACGTTGGTTATAGCCAGGTAGCCTTGGAAGCGGCTGTCTTGATGTCCTGTGTTAGGTGGAGGGAGGGTGCAGTGTCGAGAATTGAGTCCCCTTTATAGATGCGTTTTGAGCAGAAGAAGAGCACCCCTGAGCCAGGAGAGTGCCTAAGCGGGCGGCGAGGACAGAGACATGACCACTGGTCATGACACCGAGGGATGAGAGGCCGACAGTAACCAGGTAGGTGACTCCCTTGCCCAAGCCGTGCATGGCCAGCTCTCCAGGTCTTCCCATTACACGCGACAGCGCACTTGACCGATGAGAACCCGCTGAGATACAGTACCGGGCCATGAGCAGCCTTGGGGCTAACAGCAGGGCAGAGAAAGGATGGTGAGCTACTGCAGCCATCTTCACTGACGTCGTCCCAAATGTTCAAGCCTGCGAATTTGAGCAAGGGGCTGTCGTCCCCCCGGAGGCAAGGATCCCTTCTCCTGCCGTGCCGCAAGAAGGGGGCAGTGCGCCGTTGGAGCTAAAGAGCAAGATGCTTAGAGTGTCTCACGACTCACATGCTATCTACACACACTACCAAGAGGCGGTGGAAGGCCTGCCCAGTGGGCCGGGAGCTCGATCGACTGTGCCACGGCCCCATTGGTCGGCCAAGAGTTATGTAGGCGCACTCGCGAACAGACGCGGTGCGTCTAATCCCTAAGCGCCGGGTCCCCTTTTGGGCTGTCTGGCTGTCCCTGACTAGCTCAGTTCCTGTTCCTCACTTGCTGCGCTGTACCAAGGGACTGGCATCACACACACAACAGTATAACACAAACAGATTTCATTAGTGATAGGCATTCTCAGTTAACAACTTCCCCTTTTAGTGATAGGCATTCTCGGTTAACAACTTCCCCTTTCCTTGTGATCTCGAGTTGCAGGTCGCCCTTGCCTTTCACCGATGACTCTCTGCCAACCTGCCAGGGGGGGCAACCCTTTGGGGCAGGTGGTGATGGTTGACCTAAGGCTTCAGGATGGTCACATACTGATTTGCAAGAACGAGAACTATGGTCATGGCATCCAGAATTATGCACCTTTCTCATATGCCACTGTTATGCTGTGGGTCCTGTATATCTTGAGTCAGTAAACCGAGGCCAAGGTTGCCCAGGACACAATCAACAATCAAACAACCGAGAATCGACTTGTCCGGAGGTCCTCTGAGATGATCGGGCATTGACGAGAAACGCCACATTCTGTCTTACCTTGGTCCAACCTGCATGCACATGCCGCATGTACACCTCAAATGAAGAACGCACCCATGCAGGAACCGCAGCATTCCAGCCGGGTGACTGGAGTTAGACCGGTTGAAGCGTCCATTTTTGACTCAAAGCTCCCTCGATCTTTGTTCCGACTTTAACAATGCATGTGCTAGCGAATCAGCAACTTGTCGAGGTCTCCTATCAAGCTCAAGTTGCAGCAGGCTCACCATCGGATTCAGCCTGAGTCCAGTCAAACACGCAACTTTGGTCCAGGATTACAGCAGCCTTCCCAGTTCTTACCGTAGCACGATGGATATTGTTGGCTTTCCCTCTTGCATCCTGAGATCGCTTGTCCCAAGGCTGTGCCTCCGTCTTCGAGGCCACCAAGGTGCCACCCCAGATCATGGCTGGACTGCCGCCCAAGTCTGGTCATTCTCCAGTTCTCTCAGCGTTGGCACCAGCTCCTCTAAGCCAGGGCCTCATTTGCGGCCGCGTGGGCCGCAAGTCCCTATTTTCCAATCAACGGTGTGGCTGTGTCCTTGGAACTCTGCAAGTCAACAGCAACTGGGCCATCAACGGCATCGGCTGACTTTTAAGATATCTCCTTTACGATAAGTACTAGAAAGCCCATCGAACTGCCCATCTTGAGCGCAGATGAGCCTGCAAAATGACTAAGGCGTGTGGTGTTGCGGCCGCCTTTTCTGTGGACAGCTTCGGCCAACTCAGGATTGGCCGGTTAGCCGCCAGCCCCCAACACCACCGGGGCATGCCGATGCACCATGCAACTGCCGGTGGCTTGTGATCAACTGCAGCCCATCCCGCCCAGACAAGAGGTGACAGGGACAGTTGCCAACATCCAGGTTGTCTGTACTGCAGCTGAGTTATGACGAGTCAAGGACAGCTCAGGAGACTCCAACCTCGTCTTTCATCCTTCCCCGCAAATGTCGACTAGATCTGTGGCTGTCTCTGTTTGGCAATCTCCAGAAGCTCACCAACAACCTTCTCCCGCCGTCGCGGCGTTTCTGATGCGTCTGCGAGTCCAATCACGGCCACACCGTCCATGATTGCATCCCATGTTATGCGCCTGCTGCTGATCGCTGCTATCATGGACGAAATCAGGAACCCGGGTGAGACCTCTGGCAACTGAAGGCGTCGGCGGGGGTCCCGTTTGGGTCATATGTGCTGCCCAACGGCAGGTGTGGACGCTAGAAACCTTTTTAAGAAGCATACCTATCCTCGCATGAGGAGGTATGTACTTAGTAGCTGAATCATGCGTGAACAACACTCCTGCGGGTGTTGGTCCAGTCCGAGACATTCCACACTAGTCTGATTGCAGTGACAGCCTGAGTGCCAAACCCAGTGCCAGGCATCAGCGTCTTGAATCTTTTTGACATTGGCGGCAATTACTGCCAAACAAGGAAAAGCCCATTCCAGCAGCCTCAACCGACTCGCCACACGATCTCCTCACGAATCCCGGCGGCGAACCTGGCTGCCTACCTCCAACTCATCACCTCGCATCACCAGGCCCAGGGCCAAGACGAACCAGCTGCGCATTGGGTCACCTTGCACTTCCGTATTAGGTCCGAATCCGGATTCTTCGTCACCAGGACTACTTCGCCTGTTTTTTCACCTTTGCTAACAAAAATCCATAATTCAACCACCCATCATCCCCATCAAACCCCGATGACGTTCCCCCATCTCACCATTCAACGAAGTCCACACCTGGGCATTCCATCATGGTCCAGGAGAATTTGATAAAATTGAACATCATATCCCCCGTCAAGCCTGATCGCCCACTTCATCCGACTCAAATTGGGTGCTTCGGCGGCCCCAGTGCTGTCAGATCAAGCATGTCAAAGATGCCAGCTCACCCAGAATACAATATGACACCAGTCGCTATGCTAATCAAGAATTGCGGCACTGTCATTGTCAAAAGTCGTATGGTCGGGGCAATGTCCAGGGAAAGGCATAATCGTTTTGGCCGAGTTGGTCCCGTTACTTGATAATGAGTGGCATTTTTGCTTGAGGAAGTTAATGGAGGACCTTTTGAGATATCCAGTGTGTCGCATAAATGTATGGTCATGTTGTACATGGGGACTTCTGGCTGGCTCGACCAAGTAATCCTGAAGGTCAATCATCTAGTCCGAGTCGTCCGAGACGTCTGAGTAATCCGAGTGGCTTGAGTCCAAGTTATAGAGGGCGACCAGGCCGCGAGCGGCCTGGTCGAGCACGTCCAAGTCGCGCCAGGAGTCATCGACAGATCGGATGTCACAGTCGAGGGAAGGATTCCGTCCCATCAGTCGAAGAGCTCAACGTCGGCAATCTCCTCGTACAATTCTTCAAGTTGCAGCTCTGCCAGTCTTCCCACGCCATCAAGCTTCCGATACACCTGTCAAAACGACCAGTAGACATTGATGTAGCGAGAACGAGGGGCGCTCATGGCGAGCAGCGTGGCGATTTTGGCCCGTACCTCCCGCGTTCCAACCCGGTTGACCCGCGTTCATCCATGTCTCCGTTTTGCCTGGCACGACAGCAAGCTGCGTTAGCTTGGCAAGTCGGGGTCGCCGAAGTGTTTGCGCAATAAGTTCTTCAAGCTCGAAACCATCTCCGTCCCGGTTCTCCGGGAGGTGAACGACAAGGCCTTCCGGTGTTCCTTCGTCACCGGCGACAAGATGTTCCGGTGCGTCTTTGGCAAATGGGACTTGCACATGGGCACCCTCGTCGTCTGTTAACGTCAGCAAGCTGCGGTCAAGCTCGATAAAAGACCATGCGGAAGTGCATCGACAAGGAAGGATGACTAATGCTCGGCCGGAGGAGACTGGCAATTTCGATTTTCTGCTTCTTGAGGTACTTGTGGCATAGCCGATTGAAGAGTTGATGTAGCCCTCTCGCCCGAGCCTGACGCGGAAAAGTGTGTCTTCGGAGAGCGACAGCTCGAGCTTGCAGAGTCCTGGGGACTTTTGGAGTACCTGGGAGTCTTGTGATCTCCACAACGGCAGCTTTTCGTAGAGGTTGTTGAGCGTCAACTCCTCGAGGCCTGAGAGCATGGTGAGGGCTGGGGTTCAGCACTCCCTGCGGACTTAGATGCTCCATTGTTTCAGTACCGGGATGGTCGTAGGGTACTGATTCTCACTCCCATGTATTCGTCAAAACTGACGTGGAGTGCCTTGAGCTTTGGGCAAAGATTCGGCGAGGGCAAGTGGAAGGGCATTGCCGAAGCGACCGTTTGACGACCTTACCGGGTACTCAGTGTTTGTTTTGAGATAGATGCCTCCGAAGCGTTGGGCGACGTACGAGAAAGACTTCAGGCAGGGCATCCTGGGTTGAATCAGGTTAGTAAAAAGGTTTTTTTCCTCATCCGGGAAACTGTGGAGGACCAGACTTTTGATGTGACCGTGGTCTCGGTTACATACTGGACCGGGCAAGGTGCAACATGTAAGAGCGTCCAAGGCACGCTGTCGCCTGAGCGGCTTGAAACATATGCCTGGCGACGATGATCAAATTCCACGATCGTCACGGCTTGGCATCAGCTGGAGGTGCAGCTGTCGCTTTTCGGATGCGCGCACTGCGCCATCAGAAAATGAAGCCGGAATCTGACGCTCAGCTTGTGTCGAGGCAAAGCATGATTACCTAGTGCAACAATATTTCAATATCTCTATATCACGGCTTCACAAAGAGGGATGTGCATCATACGATTGGCTCGACATCGAGAGGGAAAACGAAGCCAGATCAAACAGCTAAGAACCGCCGTTTGCAACAGGCAATTGCATGTCCAGTATAGCAGTCAAAGCAGGCACATGTGCTCAGCATCGTGACACCAAGGGACCGGTTCTATACCCGTAACTATGTGCGCAGAGCTACCTCTCCATCCGTTAATACCATCGTTTTCGGACTTATTAGAACATGAGACAGTGAACAGAGATGTGGGAGGATCCAAGGTAGTAAATACAACGGCCTTGTCATTCTCAGCTTCCAAACGTCTACATTACAGTACAGATAAAGACAGCGAGAAGGACATGAATCTGAGGAACGTCTTGCGACGCCGCTTCTCACTCTACAGGAAAACGGGTGAACTGAGAGTAATGAAGGTAAGTCTAAGGCCCTAATAGCCTTAGATGCGTGTGTAGATGCCAGATTGCCTAGATGTGAACCCAAGACACCACGCTTCCCAGAGCAGGGCTAGTCCTCCACGTCGTCGCTAAGCCCAAATGCGTGGAATGACCCCTTCCCTATGCTTGATTCAAGCACGTCTCGAAACCTCCTAATATTCATGGTTTGCACCGGTGGATAGATCCTCGGACACGGAAGCTCTCCCGTGGCCTTGTCAATGCCATTGTGGTTAACAGCATAGGCACGCATGTCCTCGCACAGTTTTAGAATGGGCCCGCCCTCGGCGCAATAAGGGGAAAGCCCGTGGTAGATGGACCCAAGCCCTGCCGCCCACATCTTGCGTATGTGCTCGTCGTCAGACTCGCGGTGGTAATGCGGGCTGAGGGTTCGGACCTGACGCACCACGACAGGCTTGTCGAGGCGCTGCATGGAGATCCCACCGTCCAGGCATCCTCGCACCAGCAGATCGACAAAGTGAAACGGCTCAATGGCATAGCCGGCCGCCAGCCGTAGCTTCCTGGCCAGAGCCATAGTCATGGCGTGCTCGCCCGCGTTGCCCGTGGTGATGAATGGTCTCGCTGTTTCCCGCGGCTGAGCTCCTCCTAATGAAGGAACAAACAAACGGTTGAGCCACGCGTTGACGATGCGCGAGCATCGGCCTTCGGGGACGAACTCGATCGTCCCGCCGGTGCGGACCTTGGGCTTGGAGGACCACTTGAGCCGGACAATGGTGTCTTCGTACTCCGGTCTCCGGGACATGGCAAAGCCCGCCGCAAAGGCTTGGCAGTATTCTCCGACGGAGCAGGGGTTGAAGTTGTCGGCGTCGACGAACCCGATATAACGCTTCTGCGGGTAAAAGGCTTCGGCCAAGGCAATACCGAGCACCATCCCCTCCCCCTTGCCGTTGCGTGTCACTCGCTTGTCCGCGGAGTCGAGCAGCTGCGACATACCCGACTCTCGCAGGGCCGCGGCCGCTGCGGGATCCTTTTGGTGGATGGTCAGGACTTGCCTCCCGAATGCGCCAAACGTCCGGGACATTTCCACCAGTTGTGTATACTGATCCTCCTCCTCCCCTTCCTTTCCTTCCTTGTTGTCCCTGGTGGTGGCTCGTCGGCAGTTGGAGACTAAAAGGACGACACAGGGCGCAGGTATGGCTGCGATGACGCCCCAGATGACATGGAGCTCCTCATCCTTGCAGGGCACGACGATGACCATGGCGGACAAGATGTCGTCGAGGGAGCTCCGAGAAAAGCAGACATCTCCTTTCGCCACATAGGTACTTGAATTCCCCCGGTGGCCACAGCGGGTTTGGACGTCTAGGTCTAATATTTGGACTTCTTCGGCGACGTGGAGCTGGCCATACCGGCGCATCGTTGCCGGGCTCGTCAGGCGCATGCTGCCATAGCTTGGAGCGGTATTCTTTGGCTGGGTTTCTTCAAGAAGGTTGGAAATTGAAAAGGGAGTGGTCGCGAGGCTGGCGATATGCAGGCTGGATTTCTCGGCCCATGGCACGAAAGAGTGGTAACTCACTCGCGAGTGCGAGCTGAGGACGGTTGCTGACATTTGGCTCTCGGATATTATGGACACGGGAGATGAAAGAAAGTTGGAAAGTGCCAAAGACATCGCCATGCTCGGGGTGGCGTGAGTTTTGGTTGTCCAGAAGAAGAGGACCTGGAAAAGTCACGGCTGTCGCCTGCATGCCTGCGGCACAATAAGAAGGGGGCCGCTCCAAAGCGGACCTTGGCACGGGAGTTTTTCGAAGGCGAAGTCGTACAACGAAAGCGTGCCCCCAACGAGAGGAATATGTGGTAGATGCAGTCGTCCCCCACGTAGCAGTAGCCGGAGCCGTGGTTGCGGTACACTCACGAGGTTCGACGCTGTATTTTGTCGCGCCGGATTGAAAGGGCCCGGCTCGTGGTTGGCGGGTGATTAATGTTGGAGTCCAATGTGCGGTTGGGCCTGTTGGCAGCTGGAATACATGTATCCAGCCTCGCCCACCATGGCGTGATGTCGTGGGAATTTGGAACCAACGACCCGTGACCTAGCGCCTGACCTGGTTTATGCAGGAAAGCTGATTCATGATTTGTGCGACGCCGTAAGGCAGGAGGGTGGCCGGGGTCCGGGCGACCTGAAAACGTAGAAACTGAAGGGCCTATTACCTTCCTTGCCTGCAGTGCTCACAATTCTACCTGTTAAATAAGGGCTATCTGAGTTGCCGGCTGTGTGAATGCTTACCAGGTACCTGCGGCAATCTCAGCTATCACAGCATTCTGGGCGTGGCCTCATGGCCGAGTGTGAGCTTGGTGGCGAGATAGCTTCATTGGCCGACTGGACTCGCGCATGTTCATAATATGGTTCATACCATACGCTGAATGCACGCTGTCGCTGGGTATCACAGGTTTCCACGCTTCCAGGCTGTCGGGACCGAGGATGGTGCCATGGGTCGGTCTTCGTAGGTAGGTAAGAAAACATGGACTGCTGCCGCGCAGGAGGTGTCGCTTCCAGCATCCAGATGGGGACTTTGGGGGTGGGAGCTCGCATGTTGGAGGTGTCATGGCGCACGCCCACCTCGCTCTTTTGGGCTATAGCCACGTTGTATTGCGCAGCTTACCCTGCAGGCGAGCGAAACGGGCAGCTCGCCATGCTGCTTAAGGCTAGAGAGCGCGTGTGTCGGGTTTCCAAGAATGACGGTAGGTAAGAATGGAACACGGCCTTGAAGGGCTGCGAAGGAGGAGCCCGGAAAGTATGGAGGGGCCTCCCTCTTCTCCCTCTCCATGCAACCGGTGAGCCCATGGCGACTTTACTTTGGCTCAGAAGGGTCGGTGGTCATGGGTGGGGTGTCTGGCGAAAGGTGAACCCAGCAAGGGTCCCACGGATCGATTGTCCATGCGAGATCGATTTGGCGTCTGCCAAGTCGGCTTGAAAACAACATCCTTCGCGTCCAATGGCGTCCCTTAGCGAAAGCCACAGCGGAGACAAAGGTGGAGAGCCGGATGAACCCTTGGCCAAGCGCCGGCCCAGAACCGGCCTGATCCGGGGCCGAGTCGACAGGAACTGGCCGTTTCGAGGACGGGCCCCGATATTGTGGCTTGATCATAGCCACGGTGCCTCTTCAATGTTCCTCCGATACACGTCACCAGCGACGCCAACGATGACAAGACCAATCCTTCAAAATGGATGATAAAAGGACCCAAGTCCCCCTCCTCAGGGACGCCAACTCTTTCTCAGTCCCATCCTGACACACCACACCATAACCGTCCGATAGACACCCGATACTTGACGAATCGAACAACCCAATCATCTCTCAACACACACCACAAGCAATCATGTCCATTCCCAAAAGAACAATCCTCTTCCTCGGCGCCACAGGCGGCGTCGGCCTCTCCGCCCTCCGCCGCTCTCTCGCCGCAGACCACACGTGCATCGCACTCTGCCGCAACCCTAGCAAACTCGCCTCGGCCTTCCCCTCCTCCAACCCCCCGCCCAACCTGCACCTCGTCGAGGGCAATGCCCACGACGCCGACACCCTCGCCCGCTGCCTGCGCGATCCATCATCGTCCGATGACCGGTCCTCGCCAGTACATGTGGTCGACACGGTCGTCTTCTCCATCGGCGCCCTCCCCACCCTCACGGGCATGACAGACCCGCATGTCTGCGAGAAGGGCATGACGGCTCTGTTGGAGGCTGTCCGTCGCGTGCGGGAGGAAGACAAGAACAACGAATGGAGGGGAAAGAAACTGCGCCTGGTAGCCGTCAGCACGACGGGCATCAGCCAGCACGTGCGCGATGTCCCACTGCTGTTTCTGCCGCTGTACAAGATCTTGTTGCACACGCCGCACAAGGACAAGGTGGCTATGGAGAGGCTTGTGATGGGGAGCGGTGCTGAGGAGGGGGTCGAGTGGACGATTGTGAGGGGCAGCTTGTACACAAGCGGGCCGGCGACGGAGGGGTTAGTGAGGGAGGGGATGGAGGATCCTGTTAGCGGGGTGGTGGAGGAGGGGATTCCGGTTGGGTATACCATCAGCAGGGAGGATGTGGGGAAGTGGGTGTTTGAGAATGTTATTCAGGGGGGTGGGAGGTGGATTGGGAAGGCGGCGGTTATCACTTATTAGATAGACTGGAGGGCTTGGGTTCGTTTGTAGTATTGCTTGACGTGGATCGGGAGTTGGAGGTCGGCTTAGACGGTTGCAGGCACGCCCATGGTGGCTACAGGTAAACACATAGAGGTTGATACATTTGCGGGCAGTCCAGGTAGCCATATGTATATTATTATTATTATTCCTACACCGCTGTGCCCTAGGGCGTGCCGGACCTTCAACAACTTACTATACAGGAAAACCGCGCCCTCGTGGGCCGGGTGAAAAACCCATATCGACAATCAAGGAAACGATCAGTGTGCGATCCTGCAAATACAAAGTGGGAAGGCCTCTTGTCCTTCGAAGGAAAGGGTATCAGACTGCGAGCTCCAGCTCCAGCCTCCT